GTACTACTGTTTTCAGTATATCATTTTTCTAGCTTAAAGACAAAAGACATTTACTCTTGCCCAAACTGCAAAACTGCGCAACGGATCTCGATACGGTTTTTTTTACTAGATAGAGATTCAGTAGGAAGGTTTATGTGTTATAATACATGCATAATATAGTACAGTATATTTTTTTTTATTTATTCTTTATTGAAAACACCTCAAAAGGGTTACAGAGGGCGGACTTAATGCCTATTGGCACTATCTACCAGTCAACCCGGGGTGTGAGGAGAAATCGTGGTAGGTGCAATAAATAAAATTGCATAATAACTCCAGAATATAGAAGATATTATATAAAACAATTTATGTAACACAATACAAAAGTATAAACATATATTTAAATCATCAATTAATATCAGCATAATATTTAATATCAGCATTGCACCCGTGCGAAGCCGAGACGGGTCGCTAGTATCTAATATATAAACTTCCGTGTTTGTAATTGAACTCCTCCGAAACGGCTTAACCGATTTTCTGAAATTTTGTGTGCCTATCGGCCAGAGTGGAGAATCGGACAACATATATTTTTCATTCCCCTAAATGTTAAGGGTGGTCCACCCCAAACATTTTTTTTTTTTTTTTTTTTATGGGAAAAAAGCAGCAAACGAGCAGGAGGCTCACCTGATGGTAAGTGATCACCGCCGCCCATGGACATCTGCAACACCCGAGGGCTTACAAATGCGTTGCCGGCCTTTTAGGAATGAGTACGCTCTCTTCTTGAAGGTTCCCAGGTCGTAACGGTTCGGAAAGACCGCCGGCGGCAGCTGGTTCCACAGAGTGGTTGTGCGAGGCAGGAAATGCCTTGAAAATCGCGCTGTTGTGGAACGCTGGACATCGAGGTGGTGTGGATGAAATTTTTGGTTTTGGCGCGTTGTCCGATGGTGAAATTCAGCCGCTGGGATCAATCCAAACAATTCCTCGGAACACTCCCCGTGATAGATGCGGTAGAAGATGCAGAGTGACCCAACATCTCTACGCATAGCCAAAGGATCAAGCTGATCGGAAAGACCTTGATCGTCGATAACCCTAGCTGCCCTACGTTGGATGCGGTCAAATGGAAGAAGCTGGTAACAGGGGGCTCCCGCCCAGAGGTGAGAGCAGTACTCCATGTGGGGCCGAATTTGCGCCTTATAAAGGTTTAGGCGTTGAGCCGACGTGAAGTACTGTCTCGCCTTGCTGAGCACACCGAGCTTCTTTGAGGCCAATTTGGCCTTACTTTCCAATTGACCGCGGAACTGGACATTGCTCGAGATTTCGACGCCAAGTATTCCGATACTAGCTGTGACAGACAGGGGAGTGTTCTCAAAATGAGGAGTCACGACAAATGGGGACTTTTTAGCGGTTAACGCGCAAACTTGTGTCTTATCGGGGTTGAATTGGACTAAATTTAGTCGACCCCAGTCTGAGACTTTTGTTAACAAAGTCTCGACTTCAGACACAAGTTTGTTCCGGCTCTCGTAGACGTTTTCCCGAGAAATGTTAGCACGGCCTGTGTACGAAACATCCACAGTGCTATCATCCGCATAGCAATGGACGCTGCTGATTTGCAACATATCATTGATATGCAGAAGAAAAACAAAGTGGGGGACAGTACGCAGCCTTGTGGAACACCAGCATTGACAAATTTAGGATCAGAGCATGCACCGTCGACGACGACCTTGATGCTCCGATCTGCCAAAAAGCTAGTGATCCAGATGCATAACTTCCCGGGAAGCCCATAGGAAGGCAGCTTCGAAAGAAGTGCTTTGTGCCACACCCGATCAAAGGCTTTCGCTACGTCCAGACTGGCTGCAAGCGCCTCCCCCTTGCTCTCAACTGCTTCTGCCCATCTGTGTGTCAGGTAAACCAGAAGATCACCGGCTGAGCGACCTCGACGAAAGCCGTACTGGTGGTCGCTAATCAGCCGGTGCTCCTCTAGGTACCGCAGGAGCTGGCAGTTAATGATGGTCTCCATTATCTTGGAGAGCAAGGAGGTGATGGCTATAGGCCTGTAGTTGGACGGATCCGAGCTGTTGCCTTTCTTAGGGATCGGGTGCACTAAAGCGGCCTTCCAGGTTGTTTGGGAATACGCCTAGAGTATAGGAGAGCCGGAAAAGACGCGTCAAAACCGGTGCCAACTCTGGAGCACATGTCTTCAACACGATCGGAGGGATGCCATCGGGCCCACTCGACTTATGAATGTCCAAGGAAAAGAGTGCTCTGCGAACTGCACTTTGCCGAAATTGAACCTCCGGCATCGTAGCATCGCAACGCGGGATTGTTGGTGGTAATTTTCCTCGGTCATCCAAAGTCGAGTTGGACGCGAAGAGAGAGCCCAGAAGATCGGCTTTCTCCTTCGCGGCATGGGCCAGCGAGTCATCCTCCGTGTGCAGGGGTGGAAAAGAAGGCTTACAGAAATTTCCCAAGACAGCTTTGGCGAGAGACCAAAACGCACGTGTTCCCGTTGGGAGACGCGCCAATCTCTCGCCAATTCTGCCAATGTGTTCCGATTTCGCCTTAGCAATAACACTTTTGAAGGACCTAGAGGCAGAGTTATACGTCTTTTTTAAAGCGCTGGTTTTTACATCACTAGACGACGACGAAGCGTCAGCCCAAGCCTGGTAGCATTCCCGCTTTCGGCGTAATGCCAACTTACAGGAGCGACCAAACCAAGGCTGCGACTTGCCACCAATGGGCACTGCAGAGAACGGAATAAAGAGTTCCATACCTTGAAGCACCACATCAGTCACTGAGTCAGCAACGACGTCTGGATCATCCGGCGAAAAGCAAATCTGCCCCCATGGGTAGGACGCAAAGAATGACCGCATCCCATCCCAATCTGCTGACCTATAATGCCATACGCGGCGGCAGCCCGCAAAGTGAGGCCGCGTTAAGCGCGTTATTGGCACTGTGCTCCGGACAAGACAGTGGTCCGACGAGCCGAGGGGAGGATCGACGGAAACCAAGTATCCGTCCGGATGAGAGGTCAACAGAAGGTCCAACAGGGAAGGTGTATGATCCTCCACATCTGGGATTCGCGTTGGCGAGGTAACCAGTTGTGTCAGATCATATGTCAATGCGAAATCGTGAGCAGATCTCCCCGCGTGGTCGGTGGTACGAGATCTAAGCCACTCGGCGTGATGAGCATTAAAGTCGCCGAGAATTACGATCTCCGCGGATGGGATCTGCTGCAACACGGAATCTGTAGCCATTTGTATGTGCTCAAAGAGTCGGTCAGTTTCGGCATTACCGCTATGGGACCTATACAGACACGCGTAGATTCGCGGATGGTCGTCGCAGTCTACGCGTAGCCAGAGTATGGATAGGTCCCGTCCTTCAAGAGCATCGAGGCGACGAGAGCATATATCCTCTCTGACGTACACGCACACCCCAGCCCGCGGCACAAAGGAATGTTCCAGTTTGTACCCCGGGTAGGAGAGGAATGAGGTGTCAGCTGGAGAAGATATCTGCGTCTCGGTAAGGAAGAGCAAGGCCGGCTTCGCCGTCTCAAGATGGAAGTGGACGGCGTTTAAGTTGGAATTTAGCCCCCTTATGTTGCAAAAGTCCACGGCATGCGAGGAAGAGGTGGCCTTATGTTGCCTGCCTGCTCCGTTTGCCCCGAACAGGTATAGAGAGCGCAAAATTGCCCCCCCCCCAGAATACGAAGGGCAGCCTGGGCATTCACGCTCAGACTTTGTACGGCCTGCGCGTGGACGTCCAGAGAGGGATTCTCCACCGCGCTGTATGCTGGTGGTACCCTCCTGGGGTAGAAAATTTATATTTCGCGCAGACATTATGGGGGAGGAATGGGGAGAGGGCGTCCGGGACTCTCACAGACCAAACGAAACGCGACAGCATGGCTGCCACTTGACGTCGGTTTCTAGTGAGAGAGTGGTTCTTCCCCGGGCGTGCCGGCCCAATTCGGCTGCTACCCGAAGGTGCGCAGCATGGCACTACCACTAGTTGGGTTGACTGACTGCACTGGTGGAATAATCTCTGTCACAAGATTATCCCACCAGCGGGCGATGGGGTCGTCACGTCCCGACGCCGACAATGAGGAAGAGAAGGGGAACCAATAAGGCTTGAAAATAGGTCAAAACGGTTTACGGTACAGTATTTACCGAAATTTCTCGTCAATTTCGTCGATGATCTCTAACCTTGCAGTGGTCTGACGAGCCAAGGGGGGCTCGAGAGAAACCCTACCATTGTCGGAATGAGTGGCCAACAGAAGGTCCAGGTACCTTCCGAGAAGTCCAGTGATTTAATACATCTGAAATCCCTCTAGGCGAATTGACCATCTGAACAAATCATTCGCAGTGGCTGATTCATGTAGGGACATTCCCGTCTGACCTGTAGTGTGTGTGCCGAGTCAATCGGCGAGATTGGTGTTAATATCACCAAGGATCACCGTCTCTACAGATGGTATCTGTTATAACATGTAATCTGAGCCCATTTGGTCGTGGTTGATGAGTCGGTCTGTTTCGGTTTTACCGCTAGGCAAGCAGGGACGCGAGGATGGCCGTCGCTGTCATACGCAGAGTTTCAGTTGGCAAGGCGAAAAGGAAGGCCGGGTTTGCCATTTCTAGATGTCAGTGGATGGTATCAAGGTTAGATTAAGGCCCCTAACATTGCATAAACTCACGGAGAGCGTGGTAGGGGTTGCCATAGTGCCTGCTGCACTTGCTTAGAGTAGAGGGTTTAGAGAGCAAAATTGGAATGGAGACCCATGGTACTTCCCCGGTTTGAGTTGCAATATTCAACATCAGCAGACGCCAATGCGTCGCTCTTCCACTATTACTTACTATAGGAAACCTAATGTATACTTTGATTTCATGATTTTTATCAAGAAAGTTAAAGGTCCATATGATTTTTACATCTTGTATCTTACCTTTACTAAAAACAGCCGATCAAATGTATACACTTGAAGAGGTGAATACGAGGCATTGTTAGAAACGACCAGACGGAAGAACAATTCTAGTTCATTGCCCAGTGGACAAGATGGCGGATTGTGTGATTTGCATCTGAAAAAAGTAATAAGCAATAAATACATCGAGTCTCACGGCTGGGCAAGTCAACAGGGGCAACGGCCCTTATATGTCCCACTGCTGGGTAAAGGAATCAATAAAGGGAAAAGGAAGAAATGCGAAATCTGTTAATCCACAATGGGATTTTTGTTATTATTTCGAAAATATGTAGGTTTCCTCACGATGTTTTTCTTCACCGCTGAGCACTTATTAAGTCAGCGGTTACAGTTCCAATGAACGATTTCATTGGTGTAGCACGGGGATTTGAACTCGGGTTGCACGTTATATTGAATTAAAAGTGAACGTCCAGACACTGAGCAAGTTGTACAACAACAAGCAAACTCCTCAACCGTAACAAGTAATGATTTCTTTTAATGAAACTACTAATTGTTACTTCTGTTTGGGTTTATGCGAGAATTTGACAACTATCTAATGATTGGGACGATCACGTTTGTTAATTATTAAAACATATGCTGTAGCATAAAATTACACCGTAGTGTATGGTAGTTTGAGCGTGTTCAAACATCTTTACGCAAAAACTTGCACCGAGTGAGAATCGAATACACGACCCACAGAACTGAAACCGGACTATACCGCAAGCAATGAGTTTGGGCTCGGATCTATTTATGAGATTATTTATGGAGCTATTTATGAAATGGCGATGGGCACCTTTTTTCTGATATTAAAAAACTTGAACTTAATATTAACGGGATATTTGAAATAGTTTTCTGGCACAAAAAATCGGTATACGTTTTACCTCGGTACTTGTTCGATGACAAGGCTCAACCAGTATTAGCATATTTATGAAATGGAGAGTGCACCAAAGTGTATGAATTGCTATACAGACACCGTTCTCCTTGAGGATCACGCCTGTTGGAATATAAAATAATAAAATCTGCGGTTTATAAAGGTACTTTATCATCAAATGTGACAATTACGTAACAAAAAATTTCGCCAATTTTCGTCGTATACCTAAAATATAACTTATAACTCAAGATATAATAATGATAAAAACGATATATAAACGATTGGTAAATATTGACAGACACATTGGAGATAGGGATTTTGACGGAACAAAATTCAACCAGTGAGTCATTGTTGGTAAATGATCAAATCATAAGCGATTTCATCAATAACGATTTGTATATATAATTTACAATCTGTCTGCGAACTACAGCAACATGAATATTGGAGGCCGTTAATCTCCAGTGGTGTTTAATTATTTTGTTACCAGGTCTATATTATATTCGAAATAAAAATAATTTATAGGATATCATAGCGTATATGTAAGTAAAAAACTAAATTTAAACGAACCTATAGTCATTGTTTCCCCGCCTCTAAAGTTATTGATAAATAGAAATGAAATGACTACGAAACGTACAAATGATAAAGCGGATGTATAAAGCAGCATTGCCCCATTATCCTTATTCAGGCCCCTCACGATATCGCTTAAGGCATCATACGTGTTAGCCAGGTGCCTGACGGTTCTGTGCGCCGATGGTGTTTGCGTTCCCATGCTTTTATCTAAAAAGAAATAAACTCATATATAAATAAAAAATAATAATAAATATTAACGGCTGCAATAAGAAGAAATAAGACAGAACGTAACAGTTTGTGTCATACACACATATTTTTTCTTCATAAACTATGAGTTAACATGTCGCGGGTCGCATAAAACGGGGATTGGAGTTATTTATAAATCCAATCAATTAATATTCGGAAACATTTAACACTTACATGGAAATATAATATGTTGAATACATTACAGTAATAATGTTCTGTCTTACCTGAAGGTAAGAGATCATTAATACAAATTTATTATGTCACACTGTGTTAAAGCTACCAAGTGCGGTGAAGTTATGTAATAGAAATAGAACAATAAGTTAATTTATTAAAATATGGTGATCATGTACACATGTCATCATATTTTACAATTTAAATGTAAACAAATAGTACTGCACATTTAGCATTGCAAATGCGCACAATGCCATTGCTGCAATCATGTGATTGTGTATTAATTACGTACTTTGTTTAACATCTGAAAGGACCTGGTATAAGTGACCGTTCATCGCCTGGAACGCTGCAAGTATCGTCAGAGCGATGAATAGGAATTGCAGTGTTTGGATGACCATTGTCTAATATCCAATACTTAAACATATCCACCTTATTACTACGCTATCTGAAACAGAACGCCAATATATCTATATCTCCCTTTCCAAAATCAACACCCCAATAACTCCCACACGTAACTTTGTTTCGATGAAGTCTAAATGAGTTCGGTAAAATGTAAATATCATACCCCTTTTTTAATTAAATTATTGTGGGCTCTGATTATTACAATCAGCGGGCTTATTTCTTTAATTTCTTAATAATCTATTAATCTTCTTAATTAATACTCTAATCTCGTTCCAGTTTCCTTTCGGTTCTTTGTCAGTAGAGCTGACCTTCTCGTACAGCATGAGCTGTTATGTAAACTAAGGCTGCTTCACCACAGATTGAACGAGAGAGTTGGTGTTATTTACACAAATTAATTAAATTTTTAATCTATGATGGAGGAGAAAGAGACATCTCTGAAAGCGATCAAGTGAAGTGAGCCTGTATCCTTGTATCATTCATAAAAGAAAATTCGGATCATTTCTAAAGTAATTGATATACTCGTAGTGTAACTCGCACCCCCCCCTTTTTTGTATATATATATAATTAAACTTATATATATTTTTCCCCCATTATATGAATAAATCATATAACATCATTACGTGACCAGGATAAATTATTGATCTTTCTAAAGGTAATAATTAGCCGTATAAAATATTATTGTGATCGTCATGTTCGGTAGGACCTCATTTACGTTGTGTTTAATTAGTAACTTGATTCTTTTAGGTGTATCTTGGATAGATAAATATTCACTAGTCGTGGTATAAGCCAGAGATAATGCTAGATTGATTCTTATTAACTAACCCCGACTCGCTTGAGACGGGCTCAGAGTATATAGTATACTCCCTCTCACGCTTGTAAAGGGCTCACAATATAATTTTCAACTATTATCCCTTCTCTCTTGAAAAGGGCTCACATCAATACATACCCGATACAAGTCTACGGCTCCCCCACATTTTTAAAAAAATGTAGGGAAGGCACACGGCTCCATGAAAACACTCACCAACGCCGTGTGCGGTGAGCGCCAACCAACATATTGCGCCCCCCCCCCCCCCCAGAAGAGGGGCAAAAAGTTGGGGAAAGGACCGAAGTCCATTGCAAAGCTGTTTTACCAGCATAAAGAGGGCTTGGCCCCTTGGCAGTGCGTAAGCACAAACTTTGACCGAAGTCGCGCATGTCAATGCGTGTAAACGTCATACAAGCCGACGACAAATCCAGTCTTCGTGAATGTACGTCAATACGGTTTTGGGCATGTGTTAAAGATCAGGCACTCTGGCCCTATTATATAATAAGCCCTCCGTAAGCGCCACCACTTTTGCCAGACCGCCGCGACTGCAGACGTGATTGTTAGTGTTTTGGCATCACCACCATTAAAAAGGTTAGCACGACATTTCGTCGCAGAGCGCGTAGCCCCAAGGGTATGGTTAAAACGTTGCACGGCATCGCCGCAGCCTTGAGAGGTTTTAGCTACCATCCACATGAGGTAAACGCATATGCTCCACCAACCATTGCAATAGTCAGATATAGCCATAGTTGTGATTTTTATGTTTAGCCATCAGAAGGGTTTATAATTGGCAACATATATTTATTTGTCAGTGTCTCTGACGTTGAGTATACTGTATTTTCGATCAAGTTTGTCTCACCCACCAGCAAGTTGCCATTATTCGTTCGAATGGTGGGAACTTTACTGAGATTCGTTAATAACGATAAAACGTATAAAGAGGTCAGACAGTCTGCAGTTCCGTCATCAGGAACCCGACTTGGACAAATCTACTGATATGTGCATCAAACCGAGACGCAGACTCGGCCATTATGAAAAGCGTCGTCTCCCAAGCAAATGTCGCAAGACGCAATGTCACCAAATGCAACATGCATCAATACAACTATCGCAGGTCAACACGCCAACATACAGCCTATCCGCATACACAGCAGACATCATCACCTCGAACCTCCGTCAACCAGAATCATACGATGCAATGATATTAGGCGCAGATCACCCCGCAAATACCACAAGACGCATTACTGCATATAGCCGCACGCATCAATGTGACTATCGCGTAGGTGGCACACCCTCACACCACACGAATATAACTCCGATCAACTTCGGCTCCAAAGTTTAGAATATACTATACTCGGAACACACGAAGTGTCCAAACATACTCTTTCACGATCCGAATGATAGTCGACGTATCATAGCGTAAACGCTTAGACGCCAACCACCAACGGACCCCCACCCAAGCCAAGTAATAGCCAACGTATCATAGTGGAATACACTAAGACGCAAGCCACCACCAGACTCCCCAAAGTCAGATGATCAGTCGACGTATCATAGTGCAACACACTAAGACGCCAACCACCACCAAACTCTTACTATGCCGAATGACAGCTAACGTATCACTAAGACGCCAACTACCACCAGCTATCGATGATATGTCCACCACGGAAGACATATCCATTCATGGTTCCACGTTTACCGTAGACCATATCGTCGTACAGAAGTACCATGCAACTCCATAGTAATATGTCTTATAAAGTCCCAAGTCATTCATTGCTCTTCATTATATTTATATATTTATTATTTTTTCTCTGAGCCTTCACATATTATCACTTTTATTCATTAGACCTTACTTCCATATGATATTGGTATGGGACGTTCATACAATGTACTTTGACTATAGTACTAAGAGTCGCGATCGACCTCTGTACTTACATATGTGCGGTCATACAAATGTGTCCCCGCACGGTATACAATACTTCCCTTACAAATCACTAAGTATGGAATTGTATTTAATGTACATAATAGTGATCGTATCTTGCTATATTTTTAATAAATATCCTTTTTTTTTGAGTATTTTAAGTGATTTTTAACTATTTTTTATCAATTTTTGGTAATATCATTTTCTCATACTAACACTTATATTTCTTTAATTTAAGTATATATTATTAACTTTTATTGTGATTAAACGTTCTTAAACGTTTTATTTTCATCTTAATTGATCTTTATTATGACTAATTAATAATAATATTTATTATTATTAATAGGTCGTTACAGTAGGTACAAAGATACCAACAACTGTTTTGGAGAACGTCGATACTTTTTTCGCTGTTGTTACATCCCGACCAACCCTTCATTAAAAATTATAAAGACTGTGTATTCAAATCTCTAAATATACTTACAATCGATTTCCTTTATCAGAACAATATAAATGTTATGCCATGTGCTAAGAACCAGTATGATAGTGAGAAAACAAATGTAAAGAAGTAGTAGGTTCGATCTGTTTTTTTCTACTTTCATTAATTTCTGTTTGTCGATACCATTCAATTCAAACTGAAATATAATAAATAAATAGTAAAAATCTATGAAATTGAAAATTGAACTGTTTTTGTCAACAAAGTTGATATATTTTAAAAGATACCATTATGTTACCCACCGGTAACTGATTACGATAATGCGAAAAAAATTTGCGCGGATTAATACTAGTTAAATTTTACTCATAAATTAAAACACGTGCTTGTGGAAACATATGAACATTCATAAGTTTATACTACGCTGGGCCGCAAAATTAACGGATCGCTAGAAAAACCGTCATAGCTTCTACACATGTTCAACAGATCTAAAAACATTTTGCGAAACAGCAGTATGTTTTAGATGACTTATTAATACTGTTACGAACTACAGGTCGTGGGATAGGACTAAAAGGCCGGTATTCGAATCTTAGTTTTATTATAAAACTTGGACAGGTACGAAGGCTCCCTTGATCTCATGACTGTTTCCACTTCCACTTCTTGATTACCTCCTAATCATTTTCTTCACTTGTCTTCATATGCTTCACTTTACTTTTACTTTTCTTCTTCCCTTACTTCTCTTCTCTCTCTAGTAACGTCAAGAAAAGTAAGAGTCTTTCTTTACTACTCAACTAATAAAATGGTATTTTTTCTTGACATTACCATTCCACATGACGAGAACCCCGTGAAAGCGAGGAGAAGCGTGAAGGCGACTCACGAGCTGACCGACACGTGGGGTGGTGTGTAGCAAGCAATGCTTGTACTAATAGTAATATGTACTCATACTAAGTACTATTATTATTAGTACTATTGTACTAATACTAAGCAATGATTGTACTAATAGTACAAGCATTGCTTAGTTTGGAACTAGTGAACGCTGTGTAAAAAATCTTCTGTGTCCTGATCTGTCCTGAAAAACTTTGTTACATAAATAGTTTTAATCTTTCATTTATACCTTTTTTGTTTTGTTATTCCACAATTCTCACTCGAACAAATTAAGTTTTTTTGACGCTTACGAATTGACAACAATACAACACTTTAATTTTATATATTTTATTAGATATTAGATTGTTTTCATTTTGGCAAGTAAATCACATTCTTTAAAATATCTTTTAGCCTTCGGCATACTTAGCTTACTGCATTTTATAAATTGTTAACTTCGTTTTGATTGTAACTACCTACATCACAGAAAAATTACAATGTCTAAGTGAAAGTAAAATTACAGTGTGAAAGTGTGTACTTTCCTATTTGTTTCCCGATGCCATCGAGGGTTTTCATAACGGAAGGTATAAAACCAGGTTTTAGCATTATGTTTAAGTTATTCTAATATTATTTTACATAATGTGTAGTTGCATTATTATTTTTAAGTGTTCTATGTATCTATTGTGCTTAGACCGTGAATAAACGTTTCTTCTTCTTCTTCTTCTTCTTCATTGTGGTTATATCAATTCCAGGGATCAAAAGCAGATCCAGAATCAAATGGAGATTGTACTTGATTGTCACTGTTTTGTCCACCACTGCCGCAATCACCTCGCGTAAAAACCCTGAACAAATCTTTATCTGTCCGTTCGTCGTAGTTTCAAGCCCATAACCTGGAATCTTGATGTTCTCTAAGAAGTTTTGGACCATTTGCTATCTGATAAGACTTTATATCAGCAGGATGACTTTGGTGCAGTTGCTACGGGTTTTATTC